TTTTTTTTTTTTTTTTTTTTTTTTCGGGGGGGGGGGGGGGGGGGGGGGGGGAGGTTGGAGAGGGACTTGTCTTCCCTCTTGGCCTGAACGCCCGAACGCCCTTCAAACGTATAGCAGCAGCGGGCGTAAATGATATTTTCACACCATCGTTGACGCAAATACATAGTTGTTACACTTAGATATAACCATGGATGGATGGCCGGGAACTCCGGTACTTGGCACGTGTTGAGCTCCACCCCCAACGGATGGATAACTCGGCACAACACCCAAGGCTCTGGGGCTAATCCCATGAACGCACCCACGGTCCGTAGATTCATTCAGTTGGTGTTTTCCTTCGTGAGGTTAACGCCCAGGATTACTTCGAGTTGAGAGGAAGGGGGTCGGAGCCGGAAATACGAGGAGGCAGTCAAGCAGGCTATTATTATTCCTCCGTGTTGGAGGGGTATATCTGTCGATCTTATGGGAGGACTGGATGAAACATAACGTCCACTTGGATTGTTGATGTGAGCTGTCAAATGTCATAGGAGCAGTAGAATAATAGCACGTTGGGTTGAACATAATCTTTTCATATGTAAAAATAAATGTCATAGTTTTTATCAATCTCGTAAAACTCGACTGTACCGGTGATGCTGATTTCGGCTCCTTGCACACCCTGCTCGTATCTCTTGTTCACACAGAGAGGAATCGATGACTTCAACCTGTCCCTGCAGTGCAACTGCTCTTGTTGCAACCATTAACTTCTTCCATAGTGATGAGATAAGGCATTGTTCAACGTCCTGTAACCATGCATGACGGACTGCAGGGATAAGCATGACAGCCGGAGGGCAATGAGTGTTGCAACATCAAATGGATTGTAACCAGATGAGGAGAGATCGACGTTGGTAATAATCGGAGTCAGCAACTGCCAACCACGATTAAACCCGGGGATTTGTGGGCGGATTAACGGATATAGATCATCAAGAAGCCATCCATCCACCCATCCATCCTGACTCCATCAACTCCCACAACGTGCGTCCAAAATACAACGACTAAAAGAGACATCACCATGTAAACCGCAACACGATAGTAAATTACTCCCTCTTGTACTAATCCGCGCAAGCCCCAATCCTTAATACTTCGTAAAATACCAAATCGTCCCGTACTAATCAAACCCACACGGTTCTGTAAAGTATTGTCCATACCCCTGATAATTTAAATTTGGCTGAACCTTGCAGCCCGGGTACCTGGCGCCATGCCTAAAACAGGCTGGTGACAAGGCGTGGGATTGGCTGGCCACAGACGCTAGAAGGGCCTCGCTGTCAGAAGACTGAACTGAACAAACGTCAGGCACAACGTCAGGCACAAGCTGTTGAATCTGTGGCTGTGGGCGGGATGATGGCTGAGACCAAGCGACTGGGTTGCCTGGATTGGCCGGCTCTCGCCCGCTGGTGGTGGAAACGACTGGCTGAGTGTTTCTGGCGGTTAGTTATAATAAATTGTGGGCTTGGTGGGTTTTGTACCGTACTGTATGGAGTGGTAAGGCTGTTGCGGAGCTCAGTATTTTGGTATTATTCGATTTCTTCGTTCGCTGTAATCCTGGCTGAGATGTGTCCAATGGAATGCTGCTGTAGACGGTCTGTTTCTGCTACATCTGTGTTTGATAATTACCTCTCCAGCGTACCGTACCCCGTCCATACGTTGTATTCACCCCCGTCTCGGCCCGTCCTCGCTTGCTCCTTGTCCGGGTTTGTTATCTCACCTCTCTCTCTCTCTCTCTCTCTCTCTCTCTCTTTCTTCCTCGTCAACCTCAACCTCATCCTCAACTTCAGCCGTCTCTGTGCCTCGAGGTTCCACCATCGCGTCTGCTTTCTCTCCCACGTTCTTTTCATTCACTCATTCATTCATTCATTTCTTGCTTGTTTGCCTGGGTGCTCGTAGTCTTCTCTTCTTCTACAATTACCCCCTTTTTTACACTCCCACGAGTCTCAGTTAAAGGCATCCACCCCACAGTCCTTTTGTTACAAGAGCCACGCTTGAAGCGAGCCCCTTCTGCTTGAGAGAACACGTAACCACACAGCCGGAATCACTTTCAATCCTTCGTGATCTCTCCTCTACGTGTGTATTTATGTGTATCACGTCCGCGATTGATTCAAATCCCCTATTGAATACGCAGAAAGAGAGCGAGTGCAGAAAGAGTCAGCCAGCAACATAAACGACAAGTTCTCCGGCCCTTCGAAGTTTCCATCGAGAGCGCAACTGGTTGCTGCAAATTACGTCGTTTCATTCCCTTGGTTTTATTGATCGATTGTAGTTTAGCACTTACCTAGAATCGATACTTCTCCATCATCGCCAGCCATGGTTCATCAAAAGCACAGACACAAGGTCCGAAGCCAGGCCACGGCCAAGCGACAAGAGCCTGAGATCGTGTTTAAGACCCTGGCTCCCACCTTCGATGGCCCCATCGGTGGTTTTATGACCGAGGGCATGCCAGCACTCGGGTCTCCCGCACGACCTACAGAGCCACCAGAGATACGCCCTCCCAGAAAACCCACCAGGGAAGCATCACCTCCCAAGCCTTCACCGGAACCAACAACTGCGGCAAAGCCAGTTACAAAGGCCACCCCGAAAGCAACCGATTCCAGCCCTAGTACGTTGGCAAAATCAGTCTCCAACTCTTCGTCTTCAGGCAGTCTCCCTTCAGCCACCGGTTTGGATAAGCTGAGGGAAACCAGTTCACCCTCCCCAACTGTGGGCGCTTCTTCTTTGGCGCCGTCCTCGTCGTCCAATGAATCAGGAAGAGGCATGTCAGGGGGTGCAAAGGCAGGGTTGGCAATAGGAATCCTCCTCATCATTGCATTCCTTGCGGGTGTCGCTTTGTTTTTCATTCACAAGAAGAAGAAGCGAGATCAGGCATTGGCCCAAGCTGACAATGAAAATTCGTACAATGAAAAGCCGTTCGTCGCAGCTAACGCAGCGGCTGCTCCTCGTCCTATTGACGAGGATCCTCTGCCCCTGACGCGGACAATGACCACCCCAACTCCACCGCAGCTCAACATCAGACCCGTTACAGAGTTTTCGCCAGATTTTGCTCCACCTGCCCTGACTGCCCCAGCAGGAAATGCCTTCGGAGCCACTCTTACTGCTGCTGCTGGCGCTGTTCCAGCACGCAATCTTACTGGAGAGAAACCATCACCTCCGCCAAAGACGCCTCCCAATAATCCCTTCACAGATCCAGTCAATCCATTCGATAGCCCTACGCCTGTATCCGTCCCAGCAACTCCTCTAACCCCAGCTGCTCCTAGGCGCGCAGATGCCGGCATGCCTTCACCGGCCATTTCCGGTGCGCGTACACCCTCGCCGGAAATGGGAATTGCCGCGACTGGCATTGCTACTGCTGCAGGCACAGTTGGTGTTGTTGCTGTTCGTCGTAGCTTAACTAGCGATGAATCGCAGGGATCCCCCAAGAACGCTGCGAGTCCTGCAGGAGATGGACCCCCAACCAATTCTGCCATGGGTATGGGCTCTACCCCTGCTGGAGCTGCTGGAGCAGGTCCTGGTGCTGCGCCTACTGGAGCTCCGCCTACTGGTGCTCCCAATGTTTATCGGGTGCAACTTGACTTTGCTCCTTCCATGGAAGATGAGCTAGAACTGAAAGCCGGGCAGCTTGTGCGTCTCATTCATGAATATGATGACGGCTGGGTATGTTATTTCCCGTTGAACTCTCAACAAAAAAACAATACCACACCACGAATATGAAAATAAAAGTAAAGAATCCAACTAACAATCACCCAGGCACTCTGCGTCCGCCTCGATCGCTCTAGCCAAGGTGTTGTTCCACGAACCTGCCTCTCATCCCGTCCCGTCCGACCCCGCCCACGCAACGGATCAAACGCACACCCCGGTCCCCGCGGTCCACCACCACCAGGTATGGTCGGACCCCCGAACGACCGTTCCATGTCAATAAGCAGCCAAGTATCCTACAGCCTCCACCCAAGTCCCGTTCCCATCCCCAACCCGAACCCGAACTCGTTCCACAACCACACTTTCAACCAAAACGGCGCCCCCTCCCCACGCTTCCAGGCCCCACAACAGGGCCGTCCAGCGTCACCCGCCGGTAGTTACCGTACATTCCCTCCCCAGCAACAACCAGGCCACCCGTTACCGCCTGTGCAGTTCCCTCAGGTTCCCCGCTCCCTGTCTCCAGGACCAGGAGGACGGATTCCCCAACCACGCTCGATGAGTCCTGGTCCTGGTGCCTACAGATCAGGGCCCGCTGCGCAAATCCCCCAACAACGTTCAATTAGTCCTGGCCCGCGTGGACAAATCCCGCAACCGCGCTCGATGAGTCCCGGTCCTGGCCCCTATGGTCCTGGACATGGACCCGGTAGTAGAATCCCACAACCACGCTCGATGAGTCCTGGTCCTTACGGGCCTGGTGGAATGCAGAAGCCCCCTACGTCTGCAGCCGGCGCTAGAAGAAGGAGTTATAGTACCAGTGCAGCTCTGGCGGCTAACAATAATAATAGTAACGCTAGTAATGGCCCGCAGACACAAGCTTTGCCACTGGTGGGGTCGCCACTTCAGCAGGAGCATCAGCCAGGACAGCAGCCACAACCGCAGGTACAGGCAGAGACACCAAAACCACCAAAGACTCCACCCATCACCACAGGTCCTATTGAGCGGAAGCCAGTTCCTAGTCAATCACAGCCAGCAACAGCAGCAGCAGCAGCAGCGCCACAACAATCATAATGAAGAAAGGTAGTTATTTTCATCCCTTGTTTTGTTTCTGGACCCCGTTGGGCGAACCACATGCCAACTTTTATTTGTCGAATTCCGCAAAGTTATGAATCTCAACGCAAATCTGTCTGACCGAAGTTGTGGCCAGGGATACGACGAGTGGCGTCCCAAAGTGATTTGATCTACTTGAGAGATTGAAGTGAGATCGCAAGTTTGTCAACCATAATTGGTCGGTCGAAGATGAGAGGAACAAGTGTGCACTGACACCCCCAATACGAACTTACCACGGGCTTTTCCAATGTGAGCAAGTAATCTATGGTTTATAGTTAAGATTGTGGATAAATCCTTTTCCACTTTCTCTCGTTTTCCCCTCTCTTTTATTACGTTGTCCATTTTCTCTATATCCCAACGCCCTTTCAATATATTTATCTTTTCCATCTTACTTTTGTTATATACTCTCGGTATGTATGCGATGTATCTTCTCTCTTGCATTATGTTGATAATATCCCCTCCCCGTTGATATTGAAGATAAGATAAAGATAACCCCCGTTTTTCTACCTTCGTTGAGACTGTGTTGATAGTTGACCCTTTTGAGAGATAGAAGATGCGTGAGATGGTTCGCCTGTACCAAACAACCTGAACCCTTAGTTCAATCATTTTCATCTCATCAACTTTGAAGAACTTTCAAGCTGGCAATGCTGTTCCTCCCCTTTCTTTTTCCTTTCAACAATATTTTTCCCATTTCTCGTGTACTCTCACCTCCTGTATCTTTCATATTTTTTGATATTCTCCCGTATTTTTACCTGATATCTCAGATTTCCTTTATATTTTTTCCTCTTTAGTTTCCTACTTTTTATTCCTCACACTCTACCTTCTGCCTACCCCCGACTCCCACGCATGTTATAACCCAAGTTCTGTAAAGAGGCTGAGTGGGTGGGTGGGTGAGCAAAGTGAGTGATGAGTAAAGGCAGAGAGATTGTCACTGTAACCTTTTTCAATTTTTAGTTTTTAATTTGAGGCAAGTGTGATAAATAAATTGCCCCTTTTTACCTTCGTCTTTGTTAGTTTTCGAAGAGTTTCTCTTAGCTAAGGTTATAGAGAGAGCAATCGAGAATGAGATAATGGAGATTGGGGAAATTGATTCAAGTGAAAATTGTAGAACAACTGTGAAGAATAGAATACAAATAGAAAATCATGTATTATCAATTGAACAGTTAGATAGTTTAGCTGAATGTATTTTGTTTTGATGTCATGACATATTTTCATATGCACTAGATATCTGAAGAAGTTGAGGTCGCTATTCTTTGAAAAGCCTTCATTGTGGATCCCCGCGTGCAGTAAACATGTTTGAAACGAATCGCAGTTGGGAGTTTGAAGTGGCCCTGCTCTGCCATCACGTGGCCATTGCAACGCGAAACACCCACTCACTGTGGTCTGCTTCCACCAATCGCCAAATTGCCACGAACTCACAAGACTTCAATTCACTATAAGTGAATGAGTTGTCATGAATCGATCCTGTGTCACCCATCGTTCGTGTCCTGTCGCTCTCTAAAATTGTATGGAGTCGCTTCAGGTCTGACAAAAGAGTGGTATAAGAAATATGTCCAAGATTATATATATATAATTGGAGAGGGTTTTTATAAAGTAGGGAGAAACGTTAAACTTTATATAACTATAGATGTACGTATTCAGAATAGGGTATCAGGAGATGTATGTCCCATACCATCTTGCAATATGCTATATACATATCCAGGAGAAAGATGGTCATAAAAAGGGATGGATATAAACTCACAATACCATGCCATGAAGAACATATAAGTATAATGGAGAGAAAATGCCTTCCCATGTTGCTCCAAAATGGGACCAGAAACAACCATACAAAACCAAACAATCCAAATGAGAAACTCCCAAACGCCGTGGAGTTTGTGTGAATGTATACAGGACATCTTGGAATATCAAGTAGCCACAAATAAATAAAGATAAAGATAAAGACTCACAGATGGGGAACTCCAGCACTCGCCAGTACTAGATTGATAATACTCACGACCCCCTCTCCCAAAATAAGACCAGACGCAAGAATCACAACAGTCGACCCCGCGTCTGAATCGTCATTCTCATCCTGGCCGTAGCCAATCGCAGCATTATCTCCCACACCACCATCCTCATCACCACGCCTAACAGCAAAGGAACCCGATCTCCCAGATGGTAGCTCAGTCGCGTTATCGTCATCGTCTCCATTATTCGACAGCGTAAGTAGGCGGGCATGACTATCATCCGTACCATCTCTTTCGGAATGGCCTCTTCGTTGGCTGTGTCGTTGTCGTTTACGACCCCACCACCATGCGATAACTCCCCCAATGGCCCTGGCAAGTGTGAATGATGGCACATTATACATACCCACAGCAACTGCAATGCCGCCTGGTATCCATGCGCGCCATGGTGCACTTCCCCTTCTTCCCCCAAAACCACCTTTCCCATTCGTAGGTACCGAAAACGAAGGTGACGCGCCAATGATTCTCAAAATCGTGGTGCTGGCAAACATCAGGCCAGCAATCGCGGCTACCGGCCATGCCATGGCTGGCAGGCCCTGTCCCGTCACTAGTCGCGCGGTGAATATCCATACGTATGCCGTGGGTACCTGGAACATGGAGCTAGGTACGTCGTATACAGAGATGTACAATTTGTACACCGCAGCGGAAACCACAGCGCCAAAGAGGCTGCCGATGACTTGTCCATAGAACTGTGCTTTGGGGCTGGCACCCAGCAGGTGGCCGGTTTTGAGGTCTTGCATCATGTCACCTGCTTGTAGAGCGCCAGCTTCGGAGACGGCTCCGGCTAGGAGGTTCGTGACGACTGCGGTGCGACGGGTGTGGCTGGAGGTCGGGGTTGCAAAGGCGAAGATTAACTGGGTTAATTTGCTGATCCCGGATACGGGGTTGAGGTCCGTCTCGCCTTGGGCACGAACACCCATTATGGAGAGGAACAGGGCGAGAATGGTGGCGAGGGTTGAGAGAGCAGGGTTGATAAGGCTACCAAAGCTAATGTGCATGCACATCACGTTGAGGACTAGTGTGAGCGGGAGGAGGATGAGTACAGTACCTGTGGATATGAGCTCGGACGATGGGGCATCATGCTCTTCGTGCTCCTTTATAACGGTGTGGCTAATGGCTGTATAACCTGTTCGGCGAGAAGAGAATGTCAAAAGATTCCGCCAGAAGTTTTTCCGGGTTATGTTGTGCTGTATTTTCGCTAGAAGGCCCGGCCCGTACGTGATAAATGGTCGGACAATCAACCAGCCAAGGCTGATGATTGAGTCCGCGAGCATGATGGAGAGGGAAACCCAGACAATCCAGCCTTTGCTGCCGTCTTTCCAGCTGTCGACAGGCCCAGGAGCCCATCCCCGATGTTTGGCAAGTGGAGAAAGTAATCCCCAACCCAAAATCGCCCCGATTAACATATGCAGGGATGTCGAAGGTCCCATTATTATACCCTGGCCAATATATGCTGGGGAAGGATTTAGTGTCCACAGCCAGTGAGTTGCAAGTGGAGACCCAAGAATAGGAAGATCGCGAAGATGCGGAATGAAATAGGAGATGAGAGTCTAGAAAAAAAATTATATCAGGAGCATATCAAAGAAAACAGAACCGGGAGCCCTCTTACATATACCGCAGATATCCCAAATGCGTAGGTCAACAATTTAATCTTCTCCTTCCAATCTTTCCTCCTATCCCGCTCAGCAAGTGCAAAATTCGAAATCGAATGCGAGGTGTCCTCCCCATCATTACGAGATAGCGATTCCTGTTCATGTGCCGACCTCGACCTCCGCCTCTCTCTTTCAGCATCTGCCTCGGTTCCCTTCCCATTCTCCTCTGTCTTCCCACCGCCATGTAGCACCCTGATTACCAACGCCGTCGCCGTCCCACTTGGAAACTTCAATTTCTCCCTCACAATAACATCCCTTCGCAACGGCACCGCAAACACAACCCCAAATAAACAGACACCCAAACTCCAAACAACCAATTTCCAAAACGACAACTTCAAAGGGCCCCCTTCACCTTGTCCATCATCGCCTCCATTCTTCCCATCAGGTCCCTCCCTTAGCAAAAACTCCATCGCAGGGATCACACCCACAAACCCACAGCCCAATGGCATTGTCCCCACAGCCCCCGCAACTGTCTGAATAAGAACATTTTCGATTGGTGTGAAGGGGAATGAGAGATGTCGGGACATGGACTTGAAGACGGCAAATCCGATCAGAGCAGACGGCATTGCCATGCCGCTGATCCAGCCCGTCTGGAGACCGAAGTATGTGTTTGAGAAGGTGATGAGAGTACCGATTGCGAGACCCATGAATAGGGATCGTGCGGTGAAACTTTGCGGGGAGGTTCGGGGGCGTTGCTGTTCTTCTGTACGGGAATTGTCGTCCATGTTCTCATTGTCAGGATGAAAATAACTGACACTATCATCGATGCCATCATGGCCAAAATGTGTCTCTGTGATGCACCTCGATGAACCTGAGCCGGAGGACCGGGACTGTCTCACAGAATCACTGTGGTTGGACGGAGACGGGCCTGTCACAGCCATCTTGAAAGGACCTGAGTGAGCACAGCAGATCGACGGAATCTCCTCCGCCAACGCTCGTGGAAGCTATGTGTTATAAAATCCCGACAGAGCGTCTAACCAACATGACGAGTCTAACTGCGCTGAACAAAAATATGTACAAAGTGCGAAGTGTTGATATAGTATATATGAAGATGATGCAAGGAGAACTGAAATAGCAACCTCGGATGGGATTACTAATAATTTGATGTGACCAACTGACGTCATGGTGCTTGGTGTAGTTTATCGATGGAGATAGGCCCAGCGGAGAACGGGATAGTTTCAGGTCTCTCTTGTGACAGAGAATAATTAAGTATGGGTATACTAATATACACGAGCTTCTAGATTAGCAAATACAATAATAACCCGGACAGTGTCCGGAAGAGATGGATTTCCTTTGTAAAACAAGGACAAAAGAAGAGTACACGCATGAATGAAACGAGCCTCCCCATTTGAAAATGCACCCCGAAACCGACAGTTAAAGCATAACCCGAGCATAATCTAAATGAAGTATCCCCTTCTAAATACTGAAAAGAATTTAATCAAAAGCCAAAACTATCCAACAATGAATTGGAATCCGGTTCCTCAAACATAGACGGGGACCTATGCTTCCCATTCTTCGGACTAATTTGACTCTTCAACTCCTCCTGTAACCCTGACGATAGAGGCATATCAGCAACAACCAAACTGCTCCTCCGTTTCAGCAGCTTTCGCAGATCCGGCGTTGCGAATGATAAAGGTGTGGGTTGATTTTTTCTGGGTAGAGGAGACGGTTTAAGGAACTCCCATTCCCGCACGAGGTTGAGAGCGAGAAGATCGCAGCCCATGCGGTCATATAGCCGGGCGTTGCGCATGACAAATTCCCACTCGTCCCTGGCTGGGATTTTCATCGCGCCTGTAAGTGTTTGCATGGTCTTGTCGCGGAGTTGTTTGTAGAGGATGACAAGGGCAGGATCGTTGGATAGGTACGATTTTGCCTGTAGCGCAATTGTCCCAGGGTGAGTGGGAGAGGAGAGTGAGGATGCGATAAGAGTTTCAATTGGTGACTTCGTGATTAAAATCATTAGTTATCGGATTTCTTGAAGGCGGGGTTTTGTATTCATTGTCTTGCAAATGATGAACTTACTATCAACGCGCGTACAGCCATATCTCGTCGATTTAATAACCAAAAACCCCATGTTGCCATCCACCGATTTCCTTCAGAAGTAGCATTGACAAGAATTTTCTCTAAGATCTCCTTGAGCACTGGCCCATCATCCCCTTCGTAGGCTCTTGAAATCGTAACAGCCAACTGCACGTCCTGGAGTTGATTCATGCATACGTAAACAGCATCACGCAGGTGGTCTGCCAGCAGAAAGAAAGCAGCAGCATACTCTGTGTCATCACTGTTAGCAGCAAGAAACACGATTATGCAAGTATCTACAATATTTATATTCTTACCAAATCTCCGTTTCCCAAGCAATGCATATGCATTTTTAAGTGCCGCTGTTCTCCACCTTGGTTCGTTAAAGTTATTGCACAATAGCCTCTGGGTCGCAGACTGTTCACGATTCCAGTTTGCCATTCGCCAAAGACCCTGGAGAACGTTCTTCTTCCTAAGCGCGAGGTAATAAAGGCTGCAGTCGATGGGATTCTTTTCGTCTGTTTTGGTATATTCGTTGCGCGCAATGACTTCAAGTTGAGTTCGCTAGTAGACGAAGAAAAGGGACGTCAGATAAAGCAGTCGCATTTCAAAGTTCAAAAATGTTACTAACCAAGGCATTCAAATCCGTAATCCACATGAATAATCCGCTCTCCCTCGCATGTTCCCAAAGCATTTTGCTATGGTATTGCCTGGAGACCAGATCCGCGAGGATCTCATGACTGTCGCTGTGCAAAGCCCATACAATCTCGCGCCATGAGATAGAGGGCTGTTCTGGAAGACCCTGGCTTTTCCTTAGCATGTGTTGCCGGAAGAAAAGTATATACCGGGCAGCGTTGTCATCCATTGACCGACGATATTTGTCGACAGTTGCCACACATTCAATAATATCAACAACACGGAACTGCTCCGTACTTGTTAGTTGAGGCAACGCGACTCGCATCAAATTCTCATTCAGCGACCTTGCGAGCGTCTCATCCACAACAGAAGCTTCATCATCCGTTGTAAAGTCGGCATAGTGTGAATTCATTTCTTTCCAATTTACCTTTGTCAATATCTGGGTTGTTGACTGTTAGTTCACTCATTTTATCAAGCACGAAGTCCCCAGCCAACAGAAACTTACATCGTCATTTCGATATATGTCTTCAAGCGGGATATCCAGGAATGCATCAAGTTCGTCCCCCTCGGTATAGAATTTAAGTTTTCGATACAGACTTGTGAGAATTAGGTGTACCAAATTTGTCTTTCCGGAAAGAATGCATTGTGACAAAAACTGGGGATGAAACACTGGTAATGTGCCATTCAACCGACTAACAGCGTCGAAAAGATCCACATACGTCTGACGCGCTGGGAGACGAAGATTAGTGACCAACCAGTTGCTGAGTTCGATATGCTTGTCATAGACAAATAGCTGATTGCCAGATCCAACAACAAGATTACCGTTGCCAAGCCAGCAAGAGTCACCAATCGGGTGAGGTGTTAGATCCCGTATACAGATTTCCCTGATCTGCGTCCAGGATGGCCCTGCGTCAAGGTAGTCGTACCGTAGCTGGGACATAAGAACCACCTTGTGGGGAAATCCAACGGCCAGAATGGATTGAGTATGAGGTGTTGACGCCCAATCTAGATCCTTGATAATATCCTGATGCGAAAAACTCTCCTCAAACTCCAACTGAGATCCAGTGGTATCCCATATCGTGAGTCGGGTTCGATTTTGGTCAACGATTGCTGCCTTTCGCATTGAAGCACCGCTAGCAAGTGACGGGTTACCTATCCCAGTCTCAACCGTAGAGGTTAGGAGCCAATCAATTTTCTCGTACTCCTTATCAACTTTCGCCGTCCAGGTCCTGACTGTTCCACTGTTGGTGTATGACAGAGCTATATCAGTTGCAAAAAGATCAAGGAAACCGGAAATCATCATAGAAGAGCCCGCTGGGTCGATTGGTAAAATATAAGCCACATCTTCATCAATACCGAGATTGAACGTGCAAAATTCCCGCATCTTAGGACTATGGAATCCATTTGCCCCATTCACAATAACATGCTCTTCTGGAAGCCCAATTTCCCAAGCAACTCCAGTCATATCGGCGGCAATTGCCGCCACGTAGACGGTTGAACTGTTCTCCTCAGTAGTCGGTAGGAGTAAGACACAAAGTGGTTTCGACGCCAACCTGAAATCGCATGTCGCCACCCTCTCCGCATATAATGAGCGGGTATCCCAAAGAGAAATGCTTTTGTGGTGTAGATTTATCAGGAATTTCCCATCACCAATCAAACAAGTGCGGTGAATATGAAGATCTGAGTAGAGAGCACTTTGTCGAACAAGAACAGAACCGGAACTGCTAGCCCTCTGTCGCCAAACCGTGGCCTTGTTATCATCAGTACGCGAAACAAGAACTTTCCCACTGACATTCCGTACTATCTTCTTGACAGGTCCTGCATGCCCGGACCATACTGCTCTGGAAGTCAACCGCCTCTTTCGCTGCGATGGATCAAACAACACCTCCACCCTGGAGTCAAACCACTCAATCCGCCCATCAAAATAATGGACCAAAATCGTGAACGAGTCTTCAGATTCTCCACCAGCAAAGGCATAAAATTGGGCATAGTCATCACTTGGTTGAATGCCTGAAGCAAAGGATATGTTCAATCCTTCCACATGTGTTATATTGAACATATTCTGGGATGGCCGTGCTTTGCATCCGACATTCTCAAGTCCCCATGCAGACATATGGCCTCTGCCATCCATGACAATACACACTTCCGGGCTTTTTGTTGCCACTTCCACAAGATGCTCCAGCGCAGGATTATCCCCTTGTTGTGTAGCCCCGGACTGGACGGCATGTTCCGTAGCAACGGAAAAGTCTCGACCGTCAATTATGAACCCATACCTCCTTTTTCCAAACTCACTATTATCAGGTTGCCTTGGCTGAATCGCATCAACCATATCGATCTCTGTCCAAAGTTGTAGCGCCGACATGGAACCTGTCCGATCCATGGCCGACCAAACCCGTATTTTATTATCCGCACATATCGTATAAAGAATATTGTCCATGGTCTGTTCCGGATGTTGCGGCCGCCTCCAGTGCATGCCTGTGACGGTATCTGGGTGAGGAAGGTAGGAGATCTCGAAGCGGACATCGTGCGTGTTGAAAGAGAGTCGTTTCCATATCTTGACCAGACGATCGTATTGGCCCGTGGACGCTATCAAGCTTGCATCGTGGGAGAATTGCGCAAATTTGACCGGATTTGCTATGTCTCTCGTCCAGATTATTTGCGGCTCGTCCGTGAGGTTCCAGAGAGCTAGGCGCGAGTTACCAGCAAGGAGCTCATTGGCGGCGCCCCATGATAGCACATTGACTCTCCCGTCGTCGTCCGGGGCGCGAAACGTATGGCATAAACTCCACTTATTATCACGTTAGCCGCTAATTACCCTAATATTTAAACACCCGCTCCCTTCTAAACCCATGTATAAAACAAAGCAGTATGTAGCGGGAGTCTCCGGACCTTCCAGGTATCATCGCCAACCAGATATGGGTTAAAAACCGAAATATCCGGACCCCCAGCCACCGCAATTCTACCCGAAGCTTCATCGATTACGATAGCTTCGAGTTGTTCCGCGTCATCCAGGTAGATGGTCTGTTGGAGCTTGTGCGCTCCGGTGAGGATGACGAGAGCATTGCCGGAAATGTAGGACTAGAAAACAACGCAGGCACGAAACCCCAACATTAGCAACATTTTACATATACGTCCTTATTAACTCTGAGGAGAAACCCCAAACTCCCAGGCACATGTATACTTACAATTATGCGGACATTTTCCCACAGCGCGGTGCTCAGGGTCTGGAGCTTCGCTGGGGGCCTGCCAGGCAGCACCGCCCGCATAGGAACGCTGGAAGTCGCCAGTTTTGATGGTCGCGGCCTCTTATACCATCGCCGAGAAGAATACGGTTACGGGGTTCTGCTTTCTTAGAGACCGTAATTATCCGGTAGTACAGTTGTATGAGGTTAGCGGAGCTTGTTATCAGAGGGAGAATATAAAATCAACCGCTTGTTAGTTGCGTAGTCAGCATACCTTGAGCTGCCGACGTCACCACCAGAACACAAAGTCAGACCAACTACTCAAAATATGGATTTTTTGAGGCATCCAATAATGAAACAATATCATATATGGATGGATCCATGGATCTTTGCTAAGAGCCGCTTAGTTAGTTATGGAATAGTTATCTAGAAGTCCTCCCTTCTTTGAATACAGAAACATAATAAATAATACCCAGCGGGAAGCTCATGCGACACACCTGCAGAGCCCATTAAAACACGCTAAATAGTTAGACTAGGATCCCTCTTCACCTGAACCATTCATGTGCACCTCTCCATGACGATGGCAATGCTTGTTAATGGGAATTAAAAATAACTTCAAAAAAAAAAAAAAAAAGCAATAAGTCAAATCCCACCAAGAAACCAAAAAACAAGGGCAATCCGTCCTGCTCTATTCTGGTATATAATAACCCAATTAACCAAGACCGAGAACAAGGCCCGAAAACACCTTTCATAAATCACATATATATATCCCATCCAGCAACCAGGGAGTAAAACAAAATGCCAAAAACCATTAACCCTACTCCAAATCTCATATCGTATCATAGGAGTGAAAAAAAAAAAGAAAGAAAGAAAGAAAGAAAAAAAAAGAAAAGAAAGAAAAGAAAAGAAACCTTAGTTGGGTTTATTCGTAGATCTTTTTATTGTAGGGGAGAGAGGTTCATCTTCATCCACATCACCATCCTCATCACTATCACCACACTCTTCCTCTTCCTCCTTCTCGTCAACAAACCGCACATTAGCCCCCAGCGAACTCCGCCGAATATTAACACGCCCTCTCGCCGGAAAGCGTCGCGGTTCTGTCCGCACCTGCTCCGCCCTTAGACGAGCCGCAAATGGAGTCCTAATAGGTGTAGCAGGAGTCGTAGACACTTGCGCCAGAGCTCTAGCCCGCGCAGCCCGCTTTGACGGGCTATTCAAATAACCGGGCGTAGGTATCGGAGTTTGTGCAGTGAATGTCAGAAGCGGGCCCAGCTCACTGGGACTCATAGTTTGTTCCACCGAGGGCCATGGGTCGACGATGGGCTGCCTTGGTGTTTCCAGGACGCTGTAGCCATAACCACTACCGGCTTCTCCAGCTCCAAGAATAGAGGAACGCGGCATGTCTTTATCATCTAGTAGTCGCTTTGTTTTGTCATACCAATGCCGGAGCATATTTCTGTAATGCTTGCGGAGATTTCGCTCATATAGTGCATCTGCCGTTTCTATAGTAGCTTTGATTTGGAAAATGCGTAGAGACAATTTGCGGAATTGCGCTGCAGCCACGGTGGAGACGTGTATTTTGAAAATATGTGTAGCTTTCTCCTCCTCTGCAAGGATTTTAATAAATGACCCAACCATCCGTGTAAGGTAGCTGTAGACCAGCTGGCGACTGTAGTATATATCCGCGTCACGATTGTTGGCTTGACGCTGTGAAGTTTCTGCTTGCCATTTGTCAAACGCCTCCGTACCCATTTTGAACAACCGCATTCGATCCATCTCGACAGCCTGGCGTTCTAGCCGTGCAATAGCATCCGTATTGGATCGCCAAACTGAAATTGCTTGAGCGGCTAAATTCTTCTTTATCCTCCGTCTGACAGTCGCGTAGGCATCCTGCCGTCGTTTCTTGGACGAATTTGCCGTAGCTGTGCTCCATTGCTTAAGACACCTCGTCATCAGGAAATAGAAATGAGCATCCTTTGCCCAGGCCTCCATTTGCGCGATATGTTGCATACGATTCCTCCAGGCATCAAGAGTCTCCTGTTCAAGCCTTGGCGCGTAGAACACCTGTGCGACATGCTCCCGTCGTCGTTGGACAGCAAGCTTCTCCCTCCAGTTGTGGAGTTTCGACCGAAGTAGTTCCCGTCCGCGATGAGCGCGGAACTCCTCCTCCTTAAACAGAAGGCGAGTATAGATCCCTCGGGAATTTAAGGTCATTCTCTCAAACATCTCGCGCTTTAACCGCAGCTCATGGATTCTTGTCATCAGCCGCATCCGTGCCAGCAGCACCCATTTATACAGCGTCTGCAAAGCGACACGCTCGTCAATGCGTGCTGAAAGTGCCAAACAGCGCAAGCTGTCATTCCATGTAGTCCATGCATTCCGCATGATCCGGAGACGATCAAATTCCCGTGCCTGTCTCGACATGCGTGCTTGTAAAGCCCATGTCTTGAGGGAGGAGCGGAGGATTCTCTCGTCAACGGATCGGGAGACTCGCACAACGATCGGCTCCAGATGTGTTCTAATGCGCCATTCAGAGAAATAATTTTCGAGGAGCCCAGTCCTCCACCGGCTCTCTGCTCTTTTATGAGCTGAGAGAATAGTACACGTCTTCTGAGACCATTTCTGGAACGTTGCCTGGAGCAAAGCCCGTCTGTTGCTCGAATCTATGTCCTGGTCAAGTTCCCGTTGGGTTCGCAATGCGCGGAGCCATGCTAATAGTGACTTGTGCTTTAAACGATAATCCCTCCATTGAGGAGCACGTCGGTCGCAAAACGACCAGAACCACTTCCAATATGCTGACTTGATCAGGTTTTCCCGATAAATTGCATCAGGCTTGACTTCGTTTCTCTCGATTAGTTGAAATTTTGACTTCCAGGCTTTGAATGGCTTCATCAGCGCAAATCGCTGGGCTTTCATCTCGTTTACCGCCGTTATCTCCCGCCAGGCATTGAAATACTTGATGGATAAGATATGCTCTCTCGCAGCAGAGGTTTTCTTCACCTCATCTGAGGTAATATGTGCCCAATGAGTAAATGCCTTCGTAAGCAGATATAGATCTCGAGCTCGGGAAGCTCGTTTCTCCAGGTGTCTGAAGAATCGTTCCACCTGGGATTCCTGGCGTTTTTGCCGCAGTGCGCCTCGCCAAATGTCGAAGGCTTGTCGATGGAGAGTGGTTGCATCATGTTTGGCTGCAATCTTCTGCATCTCGTCGAAGACTTGCTGTTGTCGCTTAGCGCGTGCCGCCCATTCATCAAATATTCGTCGGAGCGCGCTCCGTTGACGATACATATTGAATGTAGACGCATCCCGAAGAAGATGGGAAAGAGAAGGCTGGTATAATAGTTCTGGGGGTAGTGGTCCTCTAGGTATAGGATCCTCATCCTGCAGAGGTGAATCGAGAGATTCAACAGCAGATGACTCGTTGCTATCGAAGGATAGCCGCTTTGGTCTGATATGGTTTTCGGGTTTGGCATGATTGATACGCCGATCCAGATGCTGTCCATCCAGATACCTTTGTGGTTCTGGGGTCTGGATTACAGAAGCACCAGCCTGCGATTTATGACGGCTATTCCTCTTTTTGCCTTTGTCCCCTGTCATCCTGTCCCCAGCTTCCAAAAGCGGGGGTACCGGTGCATGTCGAGGTGGCTCTTTTCTCCTGCTAGGGGATGCAGAAGAGGCTCTTGTACAAATATCCAGTCTCGAAACTGACAACCGTGAACTGGGTCGACATATACTCTTCTGTGTAGTCTCGTTGGCCGCATCGTATATCGAATTAAACGACGCTCTTCTAGAGCGCCGTCCTTTATTGGGGGTATATCCATTCGGTAACCATTGTCCGGCACGCTCTTCCTTGACCTGCGCAACATTCGTTTCCATATCCGCAGCATGACCCTGTTCAATTCCCTCTCCTTCCCCCCCTGTCTCATCACCATACTCAAGTCGAATGCCGTTCCGCAGCAAAAGCGTCTCGAATTTTTCATACAGCGTATTACCGGGTGCTGACTTGCCCCCCAGCTGGAACAGAAAACGCAGGTACGTCCGGTCGGTTTCCGCCTCGATGCCATTTTCCGACAGCACAGAATCGTACGCGGCGAATACAGCGCGAAAGGGGAGTCGATCGACATTGGGCTGCTGCTCGGCGCGGGTGATGATTTGAAGGAGGATGTTGACATCTTCGCGAAGCCTCGAAGCTTCGAATCAGCGCCAAGCCTTCTTCGCTAAATATAACGCGCAGACGTAAGCGGATAGAAAAGAAACAACTGACCTTGGTCTGAAAGTAATAGTTGCTCGTCCGGAGCGGTTTTGGGGCCAAGCGGTGGATGCATCTAGCGTTTTGCGACCTATGGCGCGTTGTTTGATACATAGAAGCGAAGCAAAACATTCATCGCATCGCCATGGGGCAAGGACAAAGGTGAGAGCAGACAATGAGCAGCGGCGGCATTCATGTTTCTACCCAGGCCCCTCATATAAGAACCAGCAGCGGGAGTTGGACGCAGAGAGGCATTATCACTATGATCATCTGCGACAAACCTTCGCACTTGTTCCTGCGCGGTAACAGCCAGCGCGGTTCGCGGATCGCTGAATCACCGGGCTTATATAAGCAGCCCTCCCTTTCTCTAGTTAACTACCGCGGTCATTTCCAACCTCCAGAACACTGGGGTTTAGGAAATAATTATTTCAGATCCCTCTTGAGCTGCCTTACGATATGTCCGGCAGAACAAGACCAATCGAGAAATTTGCAAAAGCCGCTGCCCAGTGTTCCGCCCAGGTTCGTCGGTGGCTTGTCACCATGTCTTGAATCTTCCATAAAGCCCTCCCCTCCAGAGCCTGCCTAGGTAACTTTGTCAAAACTGATCTTGATTTCTCTTTGATATAGGCGACGGCGTACGGGAAATGTGTCTTCGCAGACTATAATACGGTACGAAAGGATATGTGCATACATGAGTTTATAAAGCTAAAAGACTGCTATCTGGTAAGGTCCAGATTCTGACCGTATCACTCATCCCTGAGCTAACCTTGCATGCATGTAGGCTGCGGCTAAAAAGCCATAGATGGGGTGGAATGACGATAATATAGCTCTCATT